GGGATGAAGAAAGTTGTGGATTTGTATTACACACTCTCACCTGACACTGTATCTGATCCCTTAGCTGCTGATTGACATCTTGAATGAGCTCTTTGAAGCAAGTTCCAGCTTAATTAAAACGTTTGCTTGGTTAGCAGTGATCTGTGAAAGCCTGTGATAAATATTGAATCAGGTTCACCTGCTGGTGGCTGTGAGTGGATAAACAGCTGCTTTGTGCAGTTTAATCATGAAACTGTGGCAGTAGAGTACTACTACTGTTTGAATTTTTTAAAAAGAATAGTTGAAAAGGTATAGTTATGTCACTTTTGCTATCTTACTAGAGTGTGTGCTTATGTGAGATTTTGCACAACAGACATTCAGTACCTGTTTAGATGGCTTGGACAAGAGCAAATGGTTGATAAAGATTAACAATAAACCCTGTTTTTTATGCCTTGAAGATTGTAGAATAATTTTGCATTCATTAGCTTTTTACCAGTAGCTCCTTTTGTGCATGACTTTTTGAAATAAAAAGGCAGTATTTTGCTTTTTTGCTGAGTTAAGTGGTAGATGAAAAAATTCTGTTAAAGCTTTAAGATTTGGGATTATGAATTCCAATTTCTCCACAAATTTATTGTGTTTTGTAGTAACCTGAAGAACTTTTTAGATTTTACTTTTTCATCTGTAAAATGGAATTAAAAATTAATATTAGGGACCTGATTTACAATTATGTTAATATTAAGTAATTAACAAACATCAAAAGAAAAATGAATTTACAAGTAGTAGAGGAAGCTTTATAAAATTATGTTCTTTGAATTATCACTTTATTTCTTTATAAAAAAATATTTTTATTGATTTTTAGAGCAAGGGAGAGGGAGAGAGAAACATCAATGTGAGAGTGAAACATCAATCAGGTGTCTCCTGCATGCCCTGTACCGGGGATCGAGCCCACAACTGGGCATGTGCCCTGACCAGGAATGAAACTGGCATTCTTTCAGTGTATGGGATGATGCCCAACCAACTGAGCTACACCAGCCAGGGCTCAGTTGGTTTATTTCTTTGCAGAGTAATTGTGTCTGGCCAAGCGGGTTGTACAGAAAATGCTGTTTCCATTTGATTTCCATATAAAATCAGACATAAGTTTTGGGGTAACAATCTTCTTTGAGCACCTGGTGAATGTTATGGACTTACTTTCTAGAAATGCACACATACTTGTGTCTATAGTTTATGGGTCATCTCTAACTCTCTGTAACAGTTCATAGGCCCTAATTTAAGAATCTGTTTCCTAATAAATTTGCTTGAAAATTTTTGGTCAGGAGTGACTATGATGAAAGGTATTCTGCTAGGTATTAAGCAGCTGAAGAGGAACCAGAATAGTGTATATTTGTTGTGCTGTGTTTTCTTTGCAGTACTTTTAGCATTTTTCAGGTGTATAGTCCACCACAATCCTTAGCTCTAAGGATTTTCTACCATAGGGGGGATTCCTAATTCTCTACTTGAAGTTTTTATATTTTAATTCCTATCATCAATTTATTTGGAATTTTATGGGGAGAATAATATTTTGTCATATTCAGCCTGCTCAGTTGTTTTTTGATATTTTATCTGTGGATACATGTAACTTTATTTCATATTCATTCATTATATATAGTATTCCACTGATTGAAAAACTCCCATATTTTATTGATCCATTCTTCTGTCAATGCATTTAGCTTGTTTTCCTCACTATGAAAACAACACTGCAAAGATGATCACTGTTGTATCTCTCTTAAAGTGCAAGAGTTTCTCTAGCATTGAAGATACATAAACCCTATGACCCACCAGTGCCATGCTGGGTCATAGGGTTTATGTATCTTCAATTTAACTAGATCACCAGTTTGCTCTCAAAAATGGATGTGCCAGTTTATTCTTTGATCAGCAATTAGAAGAGGTGCATCATGTCCTTTCTAACACCCAACCTGATGGATGTGAAATGGAATCTAATTATGGCTTTCATTTTCATTTTCCTAATTGGTTATGAAGTTGAGCATTAGTTTGCACATTTTTTCAGATGTTTATTGGCCTTTCAGCTTTTCTTTCCTGTGATTTCTTGTTCTTGGTCACCTATTGGATTTGTCTTTTGAAAATTGATTTGTTGGAATTCTTTATATCTTATGAATACAGGTCTTAGAGATTATAGGTTTTGGGGAACTCATGTGGTTTATCTTTCTTAAAGTGTCTTTTTTTTTCTTTATTTTTATTGTCAACACTATTACAGATGTCCCCATTCCCCTCCTCCCCTTTGCCAACCTTAAAGTGTCTTATCTATGTTTTAAAGTGTTAGCCTTCAGCTGAATTGAGGGATACTATGACCCGTCATTGCTGTTTTCAGGATTATTTCTCTAGTTTTCTTACAGCATTGCAAGTTGCTGATTTGGGTACAAATAATTCTTTTTTGTTATTAAAAAAATGTCTTTTTGAAGCCTCTGTCCTCTTGCCACATTTAATTTTTTTCATCCTCAAATATAATTTTACCAAGTCCTTTAAATGGAAACTTCAATAGAAGATCACTTCTGAAGAAATAATTCCTCTTAATAAAACAAAAGAAAAATAATCAACTTTCTTAGTTTCTTTTTTCTATTCTACTTGCCCATTCACCCATTGAAAAACCATCTTCTTGAAGAGTTACCTTAAGTTCATAGATTGTATAATGATTTCAGAGCACTTTAAATCTTAAAAAACGAAACCAAACCAAAACATGTTTAATATAAAATTAGCCATGGTTTATAATTTTCTTAGTTGTGAAATGAAAACCAAGTTCAAGGTACCTAATAAAGCTGCTCTAGTGGGAAACATTTCCTGAAACTAGTGCTCGATCCTTTGTTTTTGTTAGTACAGCTACTAGCATAATATTTTAAGATAAACATTCATTTAAATTATTAGTATCCAATTCACACCTTTTAAAAATTAAAAAGTTTGAATACAAAGCAAGTTTTAAAGCTATATAATAACATCCTTTTTGTTTGAAAAAATTGTATGAAAGACGTATTTATACATATGTGAAGGTCTGCATGTTATATACTGAATTATTTGTGGTTGGGGGCTGATTTATTTTGTTTATTTCTGTGTTGTTTGAATTTTTTAGTCAGGAAAAAAATGTGGAATTAAAAGGTGTAGGTGATAAAGTTTTAAGTGGAATTGGAGCTGAAAAAGTAGATGATCTTCCAACTTTGAGAAAAGACCACTTTACGGGATTACTTTTATTCTTGGATATAATATATTCACATAGTATATAGCAGTGCTTTGGACCCTAGCATTCTAATATTCAGGATAAATTTAACTGTATCATAGGGAAGAGAAATAGTGTAATTGAGTGAAAAGATTAAAGGTATAAAACAGTAAACGAATTCTGCTACCTAGAGTTACCTTAATTCTTTTAGTATGTTAATTAATTAATGTGGTCATTGCAAAGGCCAAAAAAGAATTGAGTCAGAAATATCATTATATAATTTGCATCCCATTTTCTGTGTGACCATAAATTGTTAGATATTGCAATATATGTAACATAAACCACATGTCAGCTGTTTCCTGCCTCGCTGTTGACAAGAGCCCCATTCATAACTCTTCTTTTTATCCTTTCAGTGAATAAGTAATTATTCAATATAGAAGGCAGGATATTTGGAACTGGCTATTTAATGTGGCAGCACTCTGTAATGAAATCTGCTGTTACTGGCAACCTGAGAGGGGAATGTAACAATTCCAGCATAGCTGTAACTTTATCTGCTTTGACTGTTTATTTGGCACATCAGTGAACCTTTTATCCCAGTGAGTGACAGTTCCAGAAGGGTCACATTTACATCCATTCTATCATGTATTGTAATATTTAATGGTGGACAAGGTTGAGTGAGACTGGGAGTAATTTGAACTTGCTTTTCCACTGAGTTGAGGCTAAAAGACAGCTTGATCCTCAGTATTGTGGTGTAACATGCTATGACTTAGCATTTGTTGGTAAAGGCTAATCTTACTGATTATAATTTTTTTAAAAAACTTTAGTTAAATAGTATATTTGTTCTACTAAACTATAACTCTCCAGTACATATTCTCTTAAGCTACTGTGCTACTTAGCTTTTTTCCCCCATCAGTGACCACTTCTATAAACTAACCATTTCGTGGAGTTTCTCTTAATGAGGCTGTACCCTGTCTCTTATGTGTAGTAATTAAGGTTAAGTTAGGTAGTAGTTATTAAGAATCCATGAGTTCTAATATATAGCATTAAACTGTGTTTTATTTTTGAGAGTTTAGAAACAGGAGAAGAAAAATCAGGTAAACAGTAGACTATATTCCTGAAGTTCCATATATAGTGTGTTTAAGGAGACATAAAACTATTTCAATTATGAAACTGAATTATGAGTAAAATTATCTACCCTGAATGATAATTTTACTGACAGGTAATTGAATTTCAGATATACTTGTTCCACACAAGCAGCCTGCCTTTATTATTAAATATTAATAATATGCATTCATTTTCATACCTTTGCTAGAGAATAGTTTTCACTTCTGTTGTTCAATGATACTTTAGATTCAACTTGATATTTCTATTCTTTTGTAAGGTATATTTTAAATACTTTTAAAAATATTGGTATATTATGGGATATTTAAATGGGCTATGCTGTGAACAAAAATAGTACTATCAATTCTAAGCTGTAATATCACAAGTTCACTGAAGCAGAAGAAAATTAAAATTATCCTCAGTTTTGTCTTATTTTATAATTTATGAAAGAAAAGTTAAAATATATTCAAAGCATTTGGAATTTGAGAGTTGGAGTGGTATATTAGAAAGCAATGCAAATATGGAAACATTTATAAGTTAGTGAAAGAACCAATTTGAAGCGGAATTTGTAGTTTTTCTTTAATGGCAAGTTTTAGATGGTTTCTTGATATTATTTGTCAGTTGTGATTCATTACTATGGGTTCTGATTCTATGAGAGGTTTGATAACATTTTTATGGTAGTCCAGATGTTATCTTTTTCTTTTTTTTTTTTGTACAGCTCTCTGGTCACTGTTCTAGGTGCTCTTGTCCTACTAAAGAAGGAAACAGTAAAGATTCTTCAAATGCCATTAAGAAGGATCCTGGGGGGAAATCCAAGATACCAAAAATATATTTTGGGACACGTACACACAAGCAGATTGCTCAAATTACTAGAGAGCTCCGGAGGACCGCATACTCAGGGGTCCCAATGACTATTCTTTCCAGCAGGGATCATACTTGTGTCCATCCTGAAGTAGTAGGTAACTTCAACAGAAATGAAAAGTGCATGGAGTTGCTGGATGGAAAAAATGTAAGTAAAGTTATTTTGTTTTAGAGACAAAATAAGACTGAAAGGAGTAAAATTACTCAATTTTTTGTGTTTATTTTGTTACATGTACAGTTTCAGTGATAATGAAATAAGGTATGAAGATCACATTAATTGCTAGTATTCATATTTTTTGAAAACTAATTTTACCACAAGGAAATCTTTATTCAAGTTTAAAATTATGGTTTCTGTCCTAAAATTTAGGGATATTTAATTCCTTGAAATTAATTTCCATTTTAATCAGATGTCTTCTTTCTTTTAAGTCCTTCTACTAAAAGTTGTCAAACATGGATAATGTCATATGAGGAGATAAAAGTATTTAAATGATTTAGTCTAATTAGATTTAATTAATGTCTTACACATATTTAAAACTTCAAAGGAAGGTAGTTTAGGCTCTTTGATTGAATTTTAAAATGCTTTTTAATTGAATGAGAAATATAATGATTATCTTGTCTCATTCTGATTAGTACAAATTTCTCTTCCCCCCCAAAAATATATTAAATTACTAACTTTAAAGATATGTCATTGGTGGTTTTGAAGTTTTCCAGGGGAAATCTAGATTAACATGAATTTGGACTAGGAGGAAATAGAGAAGTCTTTCTTACTAAAGACATAAGATTTTTAAATAATTTTTTGGCAGAGTATAGCTTGGCAGTTTGTGTACCTGGTTGATAACTAGTTTACTCTAAAATGGAAGTTACGAGTCTGGAATTACACCCAGAAATTATTAGTGAACCATAAATTGATAGTATATGAAATGACCATTGATATTTTAATATATTTTGAAAGTTCAGTCTTTCACTAGTGTTTTTTCAGAGTTGTTTTTACACAAAGGACTATGAGCTGTAGCCCCTAGAGTTTCATTTAATTGCTATATCACCTTCTACTATATAATGTAAATAAATTATTTTGTATTATGTTTTTCTTTCTCAGTGCTTTCTTTTATTATATAGAAATTTATTTAAGCTTTGTTTTGGGATATTCAAAAGATGCTTCAATAGACATTCAAATGTGAATATGAAGTGTAATTACTAAGGAACTTAAGTGGAAAAACTTAAGTGACTTGTTCAGAGCCAGGAAGACAGGAAGAGAATACAGAATATTGAATCAAAACTATTGTCGAAATACTATTTATATTTATTTCCGATAAGTTCTTTTTAACTGAGGAACTGTGAAATCTTCACAATATTTAAAAAGTTCTCTTCAAGGAGAGATGAAAATAGTAAAAAGTCAAATCCTAAAAAATAATAAAATAGAGAAAAGGCTCTTCATGATAAAACCCCATAAATTTTATGCTTAAATAGACTTCTTTCCAGAAGTGGCTAATTAATCTAGTGGATTCCTCAAATTCTTGAAATTTGTCTTTTGTCTATATAGTCTATGCAAGAAGACTTGCTGGCATTGTCATTTTTTTGTTACTTGTTATTGGGAAAATTATAACTATTATTTATTTGTTATCTTATTATTAAAAGCGATTATAAAGTTTAAGATTGTGCACTGAAAGCTAATAGTCTTATTTTGTGTAATCCTCTAGAATCCTGTAGTGCTGGTTATGTTTTTTGATTGATCTTTACTGTCATAAGTTTGAATCATGTAAAAATAAAAAGTAATCCAGTGGATTTGAATGTTCAGAATTTTTCATTGGCATTTAGTTTCTGTTTTAAAGTAAACAAGTCTTTTGTTTTTTAATATTAGCGATATACATAATTGAAGATACCTGCTTATAGTTGTTTTTCTTGACCTAATTCTGCCTCAGTATGCTTACCTCATAGGCATACATGAACATTTTTTTTTCTTGTTCCCAAGCCCTCAGGGTAATTTGGTATTGTAATGAGGGCCAATTACAAAGTCACCATAGGTGTCTATGCTTACTATGGCTGAATCACCAAAGCGAAATGATAAATAGATAACTGACAGTTTGAGTGAAAAAGAGTTTAAAGTGTGATAACGCTTCAATTGACAGACTCCCCTCAGGGTTGTGTTACACTGCTAAAATGGATGCGCTTTTCTGGTTTTGCTATCAGCCTGCACAGGAGTGTCATTCTAAGTGCCCTTAAAGTGTAAACTTTCTGATTTTTTGGCTTGATCCAAAGGCACATGTGTTTTTGTTCACTGTTTCTTTTACTAAAGTGCTCTTATACTGGAAATGCAGTGCATTTATCTGTTAAAAGTTAATTTTGTTTCAGTTAAGAAAAAATTATCTTTACTAGCTCCAGAAATAATTTTAAAAAAGTATTTTAGGTATGAAAGAATATCTTAGTTTTGTTAAGATGAGATTTAACCGTTTTTAATCATAGACTCTGAAAATACCTACCTTAGTAATCATTTTGTACAAATACAAGTCTTCCAAATAGTACAGAAGATATTTGGAATGAAGAAATGGTGAATGTTATATTATGAAACTCAATCTGTATCAGACTCATAGTGAAAGGTACTTGGCTTATCTCTACTTATCTCTGGACCCCAGAATCATAAAATTTTAGAGCTAGGAAAATCTTTAGAAATGGTCAAGTCAGTGGGTCAGAGGAATCTCAAAAGCTTTTGGTTCAACTACTCTTTTGATGCGTAGTCAGAGGAGAAAATGGACCCTGAAGTTTTCCTAGTATCACACAACTAATTAGCAAGAAAGGAAACACGTTTTTTTAACTCCTAGCCATTGCTATTTTGATTACACTACAAACAAAAGCAAAAGATGGCATAGGGTATGGGGAAGTTTACATAGCAGAATTTGATGTAGTAGAGTTTAGACAAAGTAAGTGAAAATAATATAAAAAATGAACTAAGTAAAGAAAGTTGGTTGAGTCCTTTCCTCCCAATTTTTATTTTTAATACCTTGGAGGACCAGCAAGTAGCTTCCCTTAACATGGCTGAAT